GAACGGACAACTTGAGGATCTAGTAACAGCTACACCTCTCGGTCTTGATCTTTGTATTATTCTCAGCTCCCGGTCCCCCAGCGATCTTGTCTAATCCTCATCCTGAACTGAGGAGAAGAGGAACACTATTTTCCTCGTTTAACAGAAAACAGAAGCCCAGAGCAGTAAAGGACTGGCCCAAGGTCACACGTGTGCCAAGTGTGGATGTCAACACGTGAGCCTGAAATCCACACTACTCTGTCCCCTCACAGAAATACCCACCTGTGGCCTGAGGTTTTTCTTCAGCCAACGCTCATTTTCCTTGTCCTATTCAAGATGCGTTTTTCAGGGGGCTGGCAGATGGCATGGTGTTAAAGCCACTGGACTCCCACATGGCTAACCACAGTTCAAATCCTGGACCTCTGTCTTCCTTTCTCACTTTCTCTCTCTCTCTCTCAATCGCTCTCTAGTCAAATAAAGAAAATAAATAAATAACAATAATAATAAACAAAATTAAATAGAATAATTATTTTTTAAAATGTCAATATTTATTGAGGTTTTACAACCCCACTGACCACCAAATAAATAAATAAATAAATAAATAAATAAAAATTGAAGGCTAGTTCCGTACTCACAGTGTCTGCTTTCTCCAAATAACAAAATGTGAATAGCAATGAAGATCTTTAACTATTTCAATAACAATTTCAGAATCCCATTAGAAATTATTTTCTTCAGGACCAGCAGTTAGTGTAATGGCTATGTCGCTGAACTCCCATGTAGTCGACTGCGGTTCAGGTCCTGGACCTGGTGGCTTAAACTCACACCGGGCGTATGTGTGTGCATGCCCAAGATCCCTAGAGGAGAATGGAGGAGAAGAGATTGCGGCATGGCCATCCCCCTGGGAGGTGATTTCTCACTTTCTGTCTCTCTGTCTCTCTGTCTCTCAGGCAAGCGCATGCGCCCTGTAGCAAAAACCTCTCAAAAAAAAAAAAAAAGAAATTATTTTCTTCAACACCTGATGTTACATTATGAGCATTTATTTTATCAACTACCCAAAGCAGTTCCACTCTGATTTAATAGTAAAATTCGCTTTAGGACCAATGAGAGTACAAATGGCCGGTTTCTTCCTGAACGCAGACATCTCAAATGGGACACAGCCCTCAGAAAACCCTAGGCGGTCCTTCATCCCACCCATAACACATTCTCCTCTCGATCCTCATCTCTGACAAAAACTCTGCAGCTCCCAGCCCCTCAAGCCTACAACTCGAGAATTACCCCGACCCCTCTTTCTCTCACCTCCACAGCTAATCCATAGACAGTTTTCACCCTCTCAACTCCAAGCATATCCGTTCTGCCCACTTTTCCCCTCCTGCATCGGACTCCTAACTGGCCTCTACTTCATGCTCTGGTCCCTGGAAAATCATCTCAATGCAGTGGCCAGAGTGAGCCACTCGGCCGGTGAGACCTCTCAGCCCGAAATCCTTCCAGGCAACCAGAGCACAGCCTGAGATTCTCAGTCTGGCCCAGATGCTATGGGATCTGGCCCTAGCCTGTCCCCCCCACACACACACACTTCTTAGGGTTTACTTTCCCTTGGTTCACTCTGTGTAAGAACCGAAATATGGGGGACAAAATAGTGTTCTAGATTCAAATAAGAAAAGACACTCGATCCACACTGAAATTATTACCACGATTCCTTGGAACTCTCCTCTCGCTCTTCCTGAATAACTTTACATCACTTGCCACATTCTGAAAAAAAGTTTTCTCATTCACAAGAGAGAAAAAGAGAGAGAGGGGTCAGCAGATGGCATAAATGGTGATGTTGCTGGACTCCCATGTAGTAGACTTCAGTTCGAGTCCCAGACCTGGTGGCTTAAAACTCACACTAGGCGCATGTGTATGTGTGCCCCAGATCCCAACATCCAAAGAGAAGAATGGAGGAGAAGGGACTGTGGTGTGGCCATCCCCTGGGGGGAACGGGCTGTTTCTCACTGTTTCTCTTTTTCTCTCTGTCCTCCAGCGAGTGCACGTGCCCGATAGCAAAAATCTCTCTTAAAAAAAAGAAAGGGCGCATGTATCAGTTGGCCTACTGATTGGTGCAAAGACATTTCCTGGACCTGGGAAGGACATACCACTCTTTAGTGCCAGCAGGAGGTGTGGAGAAAAAGTGAAGGCACAATGTTCAAATCCTGAACTCGGCGGCTTGAAAATCACCCCGGATGCGTGTGCATGCATGCCCCAAATCTCAATCCCACCAGGAGACTGGCAAAAAAGGGACTGCAGCGTGACTATCCCCTGGGGGTGATTTCTCACTTCCCCTCTCTGTATCTCTATCTCTCTCCAGCAAGTACAAACACCCTATACCAAACTAAAAACCAAAAAGTGTCTACTATTTAATTTTGACTCTCCTTACTACTTAATAAGACATGCACGTGAATTCCTCATTGAAATAGCTCTAGCTCCTAGAACTACGCTTGGCACACAGTAGGTGCTCAATTAAACGGCCTTGGGGATAAATAAACTGAGCAAATAAACACATGGCGAAGGTTTCTCTCTTTACCTTCTCTCCTCCTTTTAGCTGTTCTAGATCTCCCTTTCTAAGCCCCCTAGAGAAGGGAAAAGCACCCAATCACACCGTCATTATCCATCTTCTCCAACCACTAATGGACCCTCGGCCCTAGTGCAGAGCACGCAATGTGGGAAACGCAAATCCTGACACTGAGACGTGACCCATTAGAGACGATGCTCTTGGAGTTGGTGGTAGAGCCGGAAAGCGGTGAGTCTACTGTGGTAAGAACAAATATTGGCACACGGCTAAAAACTGCAGTAAACAAAATCAAGATGAGACCTCAGAAAAAGGTGAAAAAAAAAAAAAGCAGAGACCTCACTGCAGCTGGCTCAGCAGGGTCCAATACCTCACCTCACTAAGTAGCCTGCAACCACATAGGTACTGTCACTATTATTCATGGTGCCTCTTCCCAACCTTGCCTCCAATCTAAACACCACGGTGGGTTTGACATTATGCAAAAAAAAAAAAAATGCTATTCCAATTCCTCCAAATCCACGCTCAAAAATAAATCCTTTAATACACAGTGCAGGTAAAACACTGCTTCCAAGCATGTACAATAACTGTAATCCAGGGTAAAAGCTCTGTTGGCCTCCTAAGCTACTTGAAGAAAAAGCATTAAAGTGATTGCCCAACACACAGATAAATGCTGTCCCTGAAAAGACACCTCGAGGTCCCATTAGTTAAGGCACGAACCAAGAACTGAAATCAGATTTAGTCATCTCGGATGACTAAATCTCTTACTCTTTTTCACCTTTCAAGAGCTGATGGGGGAAAGAAGAGGCAAGGTGGGGCTATTTTGAGAACTGAAAGGACTTAGAAGTTAAGCACAACTTCTCCCACTAACATAGTAACACATCTCCAAGGAAACCCAGGTGGCTGGGAAGTTCTATGTCTGGGTTATCAATATAGAAATAACTGCATTTCCATACTTCAGAAGCCATCTTCCTGCAGGTTGGCTTTCAGGGAAATAACTGCCAGGTTTCAGTTGGAAGCAGTCTGAGCATTCCCACCAACCTGCCAGGAGGGCGGAGTGAAATCTGGCCTACCCAGCAGAGGGAAGCGAGGCGCTCCAGGGTGTGACTTGGATCTCACAAGGATACGTAAGGACCCCAACTCTGTCAAGATCCTGGGACTATCGGGGACCAGCTGTTAGCGTAATTGCTATATCGCTGGACTCCCATGTAGTCGACCATAGTTCGAGTCCCAGACCCGGTGGTTTAAACTCACGCCAGGTGCATGTGTGTACATGCCCAAGATCCCAAGAGAAGAATGGAGGAGAAGGGACTGCAGTGTGGCCATTCCCCCTGGGGGGTGATTTCTCGCTTTCTAGCTCTCTGTCTCTTTCTGTCTTTCTGGAGAGCGCACGCAAAACCTCTCCGAAAAAAATTTCCTGGGACTGTAAAAGAGAATGAAAGATCCCACCAAGGACATGCAAAAAGTCCTACTGTTCCCATTGGCACCGGCACTTGTAGTTCCCACTAGCTTGTTTTTGAAAATCAAAGCTTAAAAAAAACTGGCCTGGGGGCGAGCAGGTGGTAGGGTGGTTAAGGTGCTGGACTCCTTCCTACATGGCCTGAGATGGTTCGAGTCCCAGACCTAGCGGCTTGCTTTCTCTCTTTCTCGTCAAATGTTTTTTTATGCTACTAATAATAAATACTCTTCTAAAAAATAAAAACTGCCCTGTCTGGTTCGCTACTATATCCCACATACCACCATCACCCCAAGGGGTGGGACCCCCTTGACATGCCCATAACAAGACTTCCTGACAGAGCCGGGCAGTGGGCAGGACACTTATTGCCCCTGTAGGGGTAACAGGAATACTAACTTAAACAGCAAACTGACCTTTTTTAAAAGAAAGATATTGGAGGTTTTTTTCTTCCTTTTTTTTTTTTTAAGAAAACTTCCGTCGCAGAGATTGGAGGCTGCAAACCACACACTTGGGAGGGCTATCCACACGCCCAGGGCGGGCAGAGGGTGACAAGTGGCAGATTTTTGGTGGTGGTGGTGGTGTTTTAAACACCAAAGTTTAACATGAACTATGTTATGGAGGGAACTGACTCTGGAGCGACCAGAAGTGCTACAGCTTTGTCAGCTGGGCACGAAGCACGCCCCCTCTGCCTCCCTTTCTAAGTCATCCTTCTGGGGTGCGGGACATTGCTGGCAGCGGGGCACGGGGGCCAGCACATCCCTCCTGTCCCTCCTGCCCCTCCAGCCCTCGCAGGGGCCAGCGCAGGAGCAAAGCAGGGCTCCCGCCTCCCTCTCCGCCACTGCGGTGTGGTTCCGGGGTGGGGCCACGGCGCGCCGGGTCGCGAGCACCCCACCTGGAGAGGAGCAGGGACGCAGGAAGGACACCGTGCGGAGGCGGCACCCCGTCGGCCGGTGGCACCATCGCGTGCGCACAGTCACACACACCCTGGTCGGCGCGCGGCGGCGCGAGCGGCGGGCGCGTTACCTGTTCTGCCAGCCCTGCAGGAGGTTGGTGTATTTGCTGAGCACGCCCTCGAGCGCCGGCTCT